TCAACTTCTTTCTTGTAGAGGAATTGATTGTGCTTGTTGTCTCTTTAACAGGTAATGTAAGTCTATAGTCTGTCCCATTAAAAATGGAAATGAACTTTTGCCTGGTATGAATTAACAAAACGAGGTTGAATAAAAATAAAACTATCTTTGTAAACTTAAAAAAAGTCACCCTCGAGATTTTTCAGGATTTTTCTCTAAAGTGCCTACTTTTCTTGTAAAAGCAAATTTTCATTTCTCTATGGCAAGTCTCTGTTGTTTATTTTCCGTAGCCATTGCCAAAGTACTCTTCATTTGAAGATGAACGGGAGAAAGCACGTGTCATGTTTCTAAAATGTACATGATGTTCTCGGGGTCGTTTCATGATTATTTTACAAAGCTGGATTTATAAGATGTAACAGTTTCGTTGCAATGCATGATGGAAAACTTTAAAAAATGAATAATAAGCAACAAAAACATCGAGTCACATAGAGTAGACCTAGAAATTGCACTTACTTTTAAGCTGAATAGAATCCTGAATTTCGAAATAGATCTTTATAAACGTCACGACAAATTCGCATTCTGAAGATTCCTTCATTGCCCGTAGATCCCATTCTTTTACTTTGACTCCCACACTTATGATGATCCAGATTTGTTATAAACTGTTAATCCGTCTCATTATAAAAACATTGTTCCATTTGTGCAGTTATCTGGGTTAGCAAATGAAATATGTAAATGAAACACATCAAGATTCAGTATGTTCCAAATCCATAATTCAAGAACGGCCCATCAATTTTAGCTGTCAACATCACAAAGTTCATAACTCTTGAAAATGGATTCCTGACGAAATAAACATTATTACGTCAACAACAATTTACGAAATATATGACGTAACAAAAATGCGCTTTTTATGGACGATTCCAGTTGCGGCATTGACAGAGGGCGGTTAGGCATATATAACCTCATACAGATAATAATTAAATTTTAAGCGTTGAGAATGGCATTTAAAATAAATTTTGTAGATCTTTACCCAGATTTTGCAGTAATTGTTAAAATTACATATATTAACAATAAAACTTTTGATAACATTTAAATGATTTTAAACACACTTAATGACATAAATCTATATGACAATACAATACTTCTTCCATTAATTCACATATAACCTACGTTTTGATTTTATGTTTTTAAACTATTTTATATATTTCTCAGAAATGATTTTCCTACTGTACATATTATCTCGTTATTCAAGACTTCTGTAAATCCTACCCTTTTAGCTGCAACATATACCATATGCGATATTTTTTCTCCCGCGAAAAAAATATGCTATTGTTTTTTTCATTGAACATTTTCAAATTTTAGGAAGGCTAAAATAATTGAGGTCATCACTCTGTGTTTCTCTTTGAGTCGATCTCCCCTTCATATTAACATAACTTATGTAACGCTTTGAATCTACAAAATGAAACAAAAACAAATAAACTTTTTGTCCCTTAATGAACGCTCCAATTCAAACTTATTCTTGATAATATCAAATCACTGACTGTATTTCTGGACATTTTGTTAAATTGTGAGACGGAATATTAAATCTGTATTTACGAGTTTTAAGTTTATAGGCCTACGTACGTTTGGTTGCTCAAACTAGAAAGCATGTTTATATTCTTATAATTTATATTTTTCCTCGGACGCGAGTCTGTGTTCTCTCATTAGCAAATGAGCTAGTTAAAGTAGACACTGTGCAAACCAATACTGAACATATAGTGAATCAATTCCCCTTGCTATATATTTCTTGTCAGATTTTCATGATAATGTAGTATTTGTTGGCGATTTCTAACGTCAGGTTTCTGTACGAAAAGTTTTAGCGCACGGACATCGCACCCGAAATAAGAAGGGTAAGAAATTTTTGAATCCCATCAGTCCTGGTTAATTTAATTATTTTTAAATAGACGTGATACATAATAATGGACAGTATTCAGACAACTACAGAATTATTTAAGTTAAACATTAATTAGCGAAGAACTAGTTTTTTAGTCTTCTATAGTTAGTGTTCCCGTTCCCCTACGACGCATTGCGGTATTCGCTTGATTGAAACGCTATCTAATCAAATCACTTCTCTTAATGCTATAAAATACGACAATATATCATGGTAATTATATAATTATATAAATCTTTGTGTGTTATAATTTAAAAAACGGTTAGACTCTACTGATATTTCACTTCAAAGGATTTTAAACTGATTATTTTAAATAATGGTTTGTTATTAAAATTGCCTTTTTGACACCAACTTTGTTCTCATTTTTCATTTCAATGATAACATTTAGCCATTGATCAGTAAGTAAATAAGAATAAATTATTTTTTTATAATAACCGAGTACAGTTCACGCTAATTGTGAGACGAACCCTAAATGACGTCTGTATGGGCGCCGCCATTTTGAAATGGACGTCACGTCAGGTTACAACGTAAGTCAACGGGAAAAAATATAATTTTAACATTTTGACCATATTTCTGACTTTATGGAAAAAATGAAAAACATGCCTAGAGATATTGACGTCAGGGTTAACATGACATTATTTTAAATGATTTTACTATTATATTAAATAAAAAATGGAATGTTCAAATTTGATGGGACAGACTATAGTTGCAATTATGGTATTGTTTGATTTTATTAACCTGTCAATTCCATCCTCATTATAAGGTCAATGCACAGAATATATTAATATTCGATAAATGTTCAGTAAATTCCGTGAGAGGTACGCAGCACGTAGCCCAGCTTACACCCTTCTTCTTATTTTTCCTTGCCACAATCGGACACTGTTTTAAGTTTCAAGTTGTGAAATCATTTTTTCAGCTTCATCGTCGCTTTTTGCTATTACAATAGCCATGTTGGATGTAGAGCTTACGGTTTCTACCGAAACCTCTCCTCACTGGTGTCCCAGTAATGTACCTACCGCTAATGGTGGGTCAATAGCGATTACCCAGTAATATGTGATTGAATTCATCTAGTTTTTGTGTCGCCTCTACGGAGTAGTGGCGACATATAGGGATCACTTCTCCGTCGTCTGTCCGTCCGTCTGTCTGTCCGTCCGTCACAAAACTTGTCCGGACTACTGCTCATAAACTACTGGTGCAATTTCATCCAAACTTTACAGGAATGATCAGTACCAAATCTAGTTGTGCATATTGTCAGCATTTTCCGGTTCAATGATTTTTGTCAGAGTTATGGCCCTTTAATAATTTTTAATTTTAAAGTTTGTCCGGACTACTTCTCTTATACCACTAATGCAATTTCAATGATACTTCACAGGATTGATCTGTAGCTCAAGTCCTTGCGCATATTGCACGGGTTTTCCGGTTGAATGATTTTTGGCCGAGTTATGGCCCTTTGATAAAAAGGTGTTTTTTTCTTTGTTTTGCCAGATACACAAAAGCTTGTCCGGACTACTCCTCATAAACTACTGGTGCAATTTTATCCAAACTTTACAGGAATGATCAGTACCAAGTCTAGTTGTGCACTGTCCGTCTGTCTGTCTGTCTGTCACAAAATTTGTCCCAACATGAAATTGGCCATAATGAGGCGACACGTGATTACTGATCGCTCTTGTTATGAATAAGTTACACTGACCGTTTTAGCGAAATAGGGTAAACCAAGAGTATAGAATATCAAAATGTCCTACATATTGTAAGATTGAACAGTGTATGTCCAGGTTTTTTTTCTTATTCATAACTATTTTCAAAAATTTTGAAGTTATAGTTGTTCTGTTTTAATATGTTTTGCACTCTTTTGTATATATTATATTTTTGTATATAATTGATTCTAAAAATTCATTTGGATTATATATATTAAATAAATGTAATTTCAGTGCCGTAAAATACTATACAAAATGTGACAATTCAGTGTTTCTTATTTGTTTCATATCCTTGTAGACAATTTTGCAAGCTCTTGACCATTTCCTTTAAAATATACATAAAAATAAAGATATAATAAGTCTAAAAAGAATGTCAAAATAAGGGATCGAACCTCGGACCTCTCATACATTAGGTAATTACTTGACCGACTATGCTATTACGGATGTTACAAGTACCTACATTAAGCTAGTGGGAGTTTTCCAAACGTTAGTGATATACTCCATATTACTTCTCGTAAAATAAACGGACAAAACCGAAGTGGGATCGACTATTGAAATGAGTGCTTTAATGTATTCATTATTGACAGGTCAATAAAGTCAGACTATAGACGTCTTATAATACTCATCACTCTGAAAATATTTAATGATTTCTCAATATTATATGATTTTTGTGTCGCCTCTACGGAGTAGTGGCGACATATAGGGATCACTTCTCCGTCGTCTGTCCGTCCGTCCGTCACAAACTTGTCCGGACTACTACTCCTAAACTACTGGTGCAATTTCATCCAAACTTTACAGGAATGATCAGTACCAAGTCTAGTTGTGCATATTGTCAGCATTTTCCGGTTCAATGATTTTTGTCAGTTGTGGCCCTTTAATAATTTTTATTTTTATATGCCCGAAAGAATTTCGGGAATATTATGTTATACCCCCTGGCGTCCGTCCGTCCGTCTGTACGTCTGTCCGTCCGTTAGCAATTTGGTTTCCGGAGCATAACTTAAGTTCCATTTGGCCCACAGTGTTCAAACTTCATAGGATGATTGTCCATATTGGGTAGAAGACCCCTATTGATTTTGGGGTCACAAGGTCAAAGGTCAAGGTCACTATGACCTTAAAACTGAAAACAGTTTCCTGAGCATAACTTAAGTTCCATTTGGCCCACAGTGTTCAAACTTCACAGGATGATTGTCCATATTGGGTAGAAGACCCCTATTGATTTTGGGGTCACAAGGTCAAAGGTCAAGGTCACTATGACCTTAAAACTGAAAACAGTTTCCGGAGCATAACTTAAGTTCCATTTGGCCCACAGTGTTCAAACTTCATAGGATGATTGTCCATATTGGGTAGAAGACCCCTATTGATTTTGGGGTCACAAGGTCAAAGGTCAAGGTCACTATGACCTTAAAACTGAAAACAGTTTCCGGAGCATAACTTAAGTTCCATTTGGCCCACAGTGTTCAAACTTCATAGGATGATTGTCCATATTGGGTAGAAGACCCCTATTGATTTTGGGGTCACAAGGTCAAAAGTCAAGGTCACTATGACCTTAAAACTGAAAACAGTTTTTTTAGCATAACTTAAGTTCCATTTGGCCCACAGTGTTCAAACGTCATAGGATGATTGTCCATATTGGGTAGAAGACCCCTATAGATTTTGGGGTCAAAAGTCAAGGTCACTATGACCTTGAAACTGAAAACAGTTTCCGGAGCATAACTTAAGTTCCATTTGGCCCACAGTGTTCAAACTTCATAGGATGATTGTCCATATTGGGTAGAAGACCCCTATTGATTTTGGGGTCACAAGGTCAAAGGTCAAGGTCACTATTACCTTAAAACTGAAAACAGTTTCCGGAGCATAACTTAAGTTCCATTTGGCCCACAGTGTTCAAACTTCATAGGATGATTGTCCATATTGGGTTGAAGACCCCTATTGATTTTGGGGTCACAAGGTCGAAGGTCAAGGTCACTATTACTTAGAAATTGAAAACAGTTTTTTTAGCATAACTTAAGTTCAATTTGGCCCACAGTATTCAAACTTCATAGGATGATTGTCCATATTGGGTAGAAGACCCCTATTGATTTTGGGGTCACAAGGTCAAAGGTCAAGGTCACTATTACCTTAAAACTGAAAACAGTTTCCGGAGCATAACTTAAGTTCCATTTGGCCCACAGTGTTCAAACTTCATAGGATGATTGTCAATATTGGGTTGAAGACCCCTATTGATTTTGGGGTCACAAGGTCGAAGGTCAAGGTCACTATTACTTAGAAATTGAAAACAGTTTTTTTAGCATAACTTAAGTTCAATTTGGCCCACAGTATTCAAACTTCATAGGATGATTGTCCATATTGGGTAGAAGACCCCTATTGATTTTGGGGTCACAAGGTCAAAAGTCAAGGTCACTATGACCTTGAAACTGAAAACAGTTGTTGGAACATAACTTAAGTTTGATTTGGCCAACTGTGTTTAAACTTCACAGGATGATTGTCCATATTGGGTAGAAGACCCGTATTGATTTTGGGGTCACAAGGTCAAAGGTCAAGGTCACTATTACCTTAGAAATGAAAACAGTTTCTGGGGCATAACTTAAGTTCGATTTGGACCACAATATTGAAACTTCAAAGGATGATTGCTTTGTGAAGGAGTTAATACTTTATTTAATTTCCATGTCTTACAAATTCTTCATCTTTACTAAAAAAAAAAAATCACTTTCGGGCATATAATGCTCCGCCTAGCGGTGCTCTTGTTAAAGTTTGTCCGGACTACTTTTTTTTTTCTGTGTGTTGCCAGATACACAAAAGCTTGTCAGGACTACTCCTCATAAACTACTGGTGCAATTTTATCCAAACTTTACAGGAATGATCAGTACCAAGTCTAGTTATGCACTGTTCATCTGTCTGTCACAAAATTTGTCCCAACATGAAATTGGCCATCATGAGGCGACACATGTGATTACTGATCGCTCTTGTTTATAAAAGCGTCCTGCCGGTTATGGGCTGGCCTTCTTTTATTGTTGATTATACCTTTAATCAAACTTATGAGTTCTTCTAAGCAGACCGATTTAGTTTCTGTAGATCTATTATTGTCCTTTTTAACATATATAGATCTAAAATGAACATGTTTTTGATTGGCCGGAGACGTTTGGGCAGATTTATTAGCCAATAACGGAACCATAGTAATGCTCTTAACCGGTGTGTCAGGGATTGACATTAGCCCGGAAAGAGATAAATTCTTGTATCCCTCGGGGGGTCGACAGGGTCCCTGGAGGGACTATTTAAATAGAAAGTATGCATAGAGACCATGGAGTCCTCGTCGGTGACATCAAAGTCCCCACAATCACTCACGGGTCGATCCTTTGAACCGTCAGTGGTGACCCTTCTGCCACCGGTGGTGACCCCCTGATCTCCTTGTTGTTAGGAGTGGAAAAGGAGGGGGGGTCGATAGCACCCTCACTCTTATCAATTTTTAAAATATTCTAATCCCTGTTGGGGGTCCTCACCTCTGCCACACTCTTATTGAGCAAACATCCCTGTTCGCCGTTAATAGGCGAGCATGGGGGTGTGACAGAAGGTGAGTTCCTGGGGGGAGACCACGATCAACCTCTTCCTTGATCATGGCCTCCTCCTCCTTCAGTATGAGCTGCGCCTTGGTCCAGCCTACTTTTCTGGCTCGGGCAATAGCTGTAATTGCTGTGGCGCGGAAATAGGCGACACAACCCGTGTATGCCGCGTTGTCCTTCGCCACAATTAATGCATTTAATAACACGAGATCCACAGGTCCTTGTATTATGATCCCCGGCACACCTACCGCACTTAATGCTACCCCTGCAAGACTTGGCCATATGATCAAAGCCCTGGCAAAGATAGCACCTGGTCGGAGGCTTAACATAGGTCTCTGTTTTATATTTTATGGTCAGGTTTTCCTCCCTCAGGTACACCTCAAGGGGACACTTGCAAATGTGAGTTTGAGTGCTGTAGATGGCTCCCTCTTCTTGTTGGGAGGCCTATCCACAGCAACAAGGGATGCCCCCTTGGACCTGTAAAACTCCAGCCTATGCTGGAGTGTTGACAGGTCCTCCTCCATGGATATGCCGTGGATGACAACATCATATGTTGTCTCCCCTGGCATATTTGACACTACACATAGGATGTTATTCAATTTAAATTTTCCTATTTTAATGCTGTTCACAAGCGCTTCTTGTGATACAAACTCTAATAAAAGATTACCAGATGCCAAGGGTGTCGCCTTCTTAATATTTTTCACTTTACTGTTGAGCTCCTTGGCCTGGGTCCTAACTGGTATTGATGTTATTTTCTTATTTAACCTTTTTAGGACCCCTATGTTCTCTGACGTGTTGCATGATATCTCATGATTCTTGCGAGGGTCCAAAGGGCAACCAAGGACCCGTTAAAGATCCATGTGATGTCTAGATGGCCCGTAACAGGCCACCTTGACTGGCATTTTTGCCAATGACTGCGGTTTAACCGCCAATTATCAATATATATATATTTCTGAATTTCTGAATTTAAAATCTATTTATAATTTAAAACTATAGTTATATGCATAATTATACTATGTATATGATATACCCTTTTATTATACTATATAATACAGCTGATTGTTACATTTAAAAAAACAGAATGACTCACTAGTCAGAACTTTCAGCACATATTTCCAGTATCTGTTACTGGTTCGAAAAACCACAATTTAATAACCGTCCATAGATTTCACCCACTTTCTCTAATCTCTAATTCAAATGTAGGGTTGTAGGGTGCAGTTGGAGACTGAAATTATAGACATGTTAATTAGTTTAGGGCAAAAAGTCTTGGTGATTTAATGACATTAAGACTCTTCAATTACGAAAAAAATCTTGCTGATTAATTTGAACTTTAGAATATAATTAGAAATTTATAAAATTTGACTATATGCATACTTTTTAAAATTTCTTATCAATTATGAACAAGTACCTTATCAACATTTAGACTCTTTTATTTATATATAACTTGCTTTGTATCATTGTATGGAGTTATTGATTATAAGAAATTTATAGAAGTTGACTTAGTAATATGTGTATTTTTAGTATCATTTATCAATTTTAACAAGAAATACCTCATCTACCAAGGTTGAGTGTAGGACATGAACATCATTTATAGAACATGCCTGACAAACAAAAGTGAGTGGTGTGTGTCTTCTGTTAGCTCTATTGTAGGCAGCTTTTGTTATACCTGTGAAATTTATATTTAATACATAAATACATAGTATAGTTTATAAAAAAAAATATTAATTATAACATAAACATACTGCATTTCTCATTTATTTTTATAAAGTTTCAAAGCTTTTAAGCAGTTAAAGCTGTTTATACATTGTATTGCCCAATGTTATGCAAGGCACTTTCATCCATTAAGTGTTTATTGCATGTCACCTTGTTTATTCAACATGTTGATTGGTTGTTTATTCAACAGTTATCTCATAATTGATTAGATAATTGGATTAAAATGGTATTACTGTATGAAAAAAAATTGTATGAATAAATAAATAAATAAGAACGAATGAATGAATTGCTTTATGAAATCAGAGATGTAGATACCTCCTATATTCTCAATTAAACTAATATCACTCATGCCTTTCAAACAGTGAAAAATTAGGCACTTTGTAGCAAATAAGATTTGATGGATGTTCATTTGATCCTTTAATTATGCCCCCACAATGTGGGAGCATATAGCGTTGCACTTGTCCGTCCGTCCGTCAATCTGTCAGTCAGTCAGTCCGTCCGTCCCGAAATCTTGTGAACGCAACTCCTCTTAAACCGGATGGCAGATTTTGCTTAAACTTACAGGGATGAACAACCTTAATGTGTAGATGTTAGTAAAGGAAGGAATTTTCGCTGCAACCAAATTTAACAGAATTATGGCCCTTTGTTGATTTTTTCACTAGATGCTATGTAGAAATTTTGTGAACGCAACTCCTCTTAAACCGGATGGCAGATTTTGCTTAAACTTCCAGGGATGAACAACCTTAATGTGTAGATGGCAGTAAAGGAAGGAATTTTTGCTGCAACCAAATTTAACAGAATTATGGCCCTTTGTTGATTTTTTCATTATATACTTTGTAGAAATTTTGTGAACGTAACTCCTCTTAAACCGGATGGCAGATTTTGCTTAAACTTCCAGGGATTTACAACCTTAATGTGTAGATGGTAGTAAAGGAAGGAATTTTTGCTGCGACCAAATTTTACAGAATTATGGCCCTTTGTTGATTTTTAGTTTTCAACTTGTGGCACATGTAGTCCAAAAAATATTTGACCTAGAGTCATAAGATTGACAGAACAGTGGCAGGTGAGGGCATCCGTGTCCTATGGACACATTTCTAGTATTATACACCATTTGAAAATTAAATATTTTGTCTGTTGCTGCATTTTAAAATATTGGTAACTTTCCTTGCCTTTCACTTAAAAATACATAGCAAAATTTACCATTGTTTTCATCATTTGAATTGATTTGTAACAAAAATCAATAAGTAGTTCTCTGTAAAAATTGATGTATCATTGATTTAAATTGGAACTGTTTATTTTTTACCGGCAGCCATAGACAAATGCATAAGCTTTTAGAATCTGGTTCATAAGTTTTACTTGATATAAGTTTTAAGTTTAATAAGCACATGTGATATCTGAACTGGTTAGGAAGTTTCCTATCTCTGTTACCTATGTCTCTGATAAAATATACAAAAATTACTTATACACTTATTGCAATGAATAAAAAAGAACAATTTGTATTTACATATAACTTAAAAAAGTTGCTAACAAATTAAATAAACTTACCGTTATCACATGTGTTGCCAGTTCCCACATTTTTCACAATCAACTGCAGCATCATTATCAGACACAATTATCCTGCATTTAATACAAAGATCATCCATAATGTCATTAATTAAACAAATAAATAGCACCAGTTATGTAAATTAAGCACAATGTATAGAATAGAATAGAACAGAATATTTTATTGGCATTAAATACAAACAATATTTATAGCCATACAAATATAAACATGTATAGTGGTGCATACAAACTTTACCAGAAGAACAAAAGTTTAACAATGTAGATTTAACAAACATTAAGTCTAGTTTCTTAATGGTATCATTGTCTTTCTCTGAAAGCCAAATATAAAAATCGACCTAATTTGTAAATTGATCTTATAGAATCTGTTGACATTAAAGTAGTGAACTTTTGAAAATACACAAAATCATAATGTAAAAGCACAAATTTGTCACCAAATGAATATAACTTGTCAAATGAATGATATAAGGTAAGGATCGTGTGTGTGTGTTTTTAGTTTTATTTATACTGGGCGCCGGTTTCCCATATGTCCCAGACTAGTCGGCCTCTATTACGATTGCTGGTAACGTAGAGCCTGCAACGGAGGACTTATTCGCCTGCAACGTCGTCGATGTCATAGAGCCGCGACAGAGGTCTTCTCAAGCTGTCGATTGTCGTAGGCCTTCCCTAGGACCAAATTCTTCGCTCAATGAACAAATGACAATAGGAGGAAAGGCACCTCTTCCGGGAGCAGCAGCTCTCTTTAGGGCCACACCCTTCGTCGTTGGTTAGGTCACACCAGCTAAGTGACCTAACTAGGTCACCCATCTGGTGTGACCTATGCCTTCCTAGCGGCGTGCACGCCACGAAGGGAAGTCGGAAGTAAGGATCAAACCGAAAACAGACTTAAGTACAAAAACTTCAATAATTAAAATCAACTCATAATTTATTAGCCAATTACATGTTATACTTACATTTTTCATAATTGCACTTGTCTTGTTCATCTTTGACCAATAGCTATTCTGCAGTTATGGTTACTCAAAAATATGAGCTAATCAAACATATATTTTCAAAACACCTTAAAAGAATATGAATTACTTTAACTATTACATGATAATACAATAATCAGTACAGCTAATTAACAGCTTTGTATTCATGTTTTGCTTTCAGTCCATTAAACAAGATACTGTCAATTAAAAACACAAAGGAAGTGTGAAAAAGATTATATACTTAAAATATATCAAAGGAAAAATCACACAAAGGTTCACACACTTCAATAGAAAGATTATTCAATTAGTTATATCACTTACACATAAATTGAAATTAGTATTAATATATAAAAATAAAGAACAAAAATTTACTTACTATCAACTTTGTGATATGAGCCTTTTTGTAGTGCAAAAACAACAATATAACCATTGTCTTTGGTCAATTACATGATAAAATAATATATAACATTTGTTAAGACAATAAACATAATCACTACCGTCTTGAATACATTTGACATTTTTGAACATAAATTATTGTTGAACACGAAATAAAAAAAATGGGGGGTGAAGTGTCTTAATCAAATTTCTTAAAATGAGGGGTGAACTGTCTAAGGGGTGAGGTGTCTGCAAAAAAGGGCCTAGAGTGAAGTGTCTGGGAGGTGAAGTGTCTGTAAACCCTATAGAATATGTTGCACGACGAACAAATGAAGTAGTGTGTTTGAAATTGTTTACGATAATTGATCAACTGCAAATTATATTATTTACCTGGTAAAGTCGACGTATTTGATGTTTTCACCATCCTGAGCCTCTTAGTTTAGTTTGACAGCGTTCGTTCGTCCACTGAAGAAGGATTTTCAGGGGTCTAGTCTGTCTTGAATGTTTAGACCCCGGCATGGGTGCAAGTTTTCCGGCATATGCCGGAAGTTCCGGTTTTTCATGTGCCGGAGGGATCATTTTTGCGAATCACGTAAATCCGTTGAGATATTTGGAGGGGTATGGTGCGGGTCTACTCTTTCAAACTGAGAAGTACCACCGATTAGAAGTTCATAATGGAGAACGCTATGTAACATACGGATGCTCACGGTTGTTCTGGAAGCGTCAATAGTAATCTTTCGCGGAAACTGCCGATAGTTTCCGAAGATATACGAGATGTTTACGAAAACATTGTAGAACCTTCAGTATGATAGTTAAAGGACTTACCTATCTGTATGTCTGTAATTCTGTTGTGGATACACCAAAACACTCTGTTGATTGCACGGATTAGTTTCGCCTAGATAATGTTCGTGTAGCACCAATGGCTGCTTCTAGAGGAATCTCCCAGAATACCTTGCGGCCCTTCGCCGCCCACAGTAACGACCAATCAGGGGCTATGGAACATATTCTTTCGTACCCGACCTATCTCGTACCAAGGTCCGCGAGTACCACACTCCTCCCCGTCCTATTTGAAGGTGTTGGCCCACACTGACGACTTAGCCAATGAGGCTCTTATTTCTGAGACGACTTTCCTGGTTCCAACCAGTACTGGTATTGCAACTCCTTGCCTCTTCAAAAAGCACTATAAGTTACGATCCTTTGTGTCTGTGATAAAATGGTCTAAATTACCAGTAACCAAATATTGACGATCCTAGGTCCTATACCCATGAAACATTTAACTTGCCTATAACCTTTGATCAATAATTAAGCACCTTTGGCTTAATCAGAGCTGTTTCCCGAAAGTGGCAGCTTCTTTTCAATATACCGTCTTCGCGTGTTGAAAGATGCCAATTCGATCAATTTCTCCCAAGTTGTACCCCTTGCCTTGGCTAAACGCGACGCCACCCATCCGATCATACTTGGGGTTGAATTGTCACATTTTGGAGGGCTAAAATACGGAGCATCGGACTCCAGGAGAAGTCGAGAAGATTCTACTCCCATTACCGTTTCCTTATGATCCATAGACCGGCAACTCAAAACGGTGAACCCAATGTATGTATTGGGGAAAACTTCTAGCCACTTCTTAAGCATCGACAGGGACCCAGTAAAACAATGAAAGTGGATCAGCTGTTCCTTGATGACAGACTGATGACATTTCAGTAACAAGAGCAGAGTGTGAATGGCTTTATCTCCCAATTCCGTAAGGCTTCTACTATGCAACACCAGAATGTGTTCTTTATTCAAGAAATTCAACACGGCCTCTAACTTCAACATCTGCTCTGCCCACGTGATTGCCGGTACCTTCCTATCCAGTCCAATCTCTCCGAGTCCCACTACTTCCGGCAACTCTAGGAGAGACTGCAATTTTGACAAACTCGTCTCGTCTATGGTCTTCTTTGGATGGATACCCACCACGGGAGTAACCTCTTTCCTGGTCACAGGAGACAAGGACTCGAGTAACTTCACAAGGTCCTCAAGACCCTTGTGAACTCCCAGAAGCCATCTGGTACACAGCTTTAGAGCACTCAATCTTCTTTGTGAAACAGAATCCCCAGACAATATAGGGCTAAATATCCCCGGAACATGAAACTTAAGGGCGTGTCCTGCTTACTTCTGCATCACACCGTCTAACTGGACATCGCATGGGCCGAACCAAAATCAACTTAGGCTTTTTCGCGGTGCTGTCCCTACTTCTTGAACTATCCGCAGCTCTTTGGCGTCTCCCATGAGACCCGGTCCCATGAACTTGAACCCTCAAGCCATGGGCTTCGACAGGTTGGTGACTTGATACTGTGGCTACGGGCCTCGATACCCTTTCCACTACCCTTTCACCACTTCTGTGCTCAGCTTTCTCTCGAACACGAGGACGCACGGGGCTTATTGGCTTCCCCAACATGGCAGATTCCGATGGGCTAGCTCCCAAGAGTTTCTCTGCACCTTCAGATGAAACGGACTCTATCTCCATGTCGGCCTCCCCCACACCTAGCAATTTATCTTCTTCTAAATGCTCCCCCGTACGTTGAATATTAGGATCGGTCTTCATTTTAATATCCCTACTTCTACCACTTGCATGTACTTTGGACTCTGGCCGCTAGTAGGTGCTCAAGTAGTAAACATTCTTAGAAATCCACTCCTTAGAATGAAACTGGAGGCTGTCTAGTTCCTTGGCTTGATCCCTCAACCAATTTTTCTTGTCCCTACTTCTGGCAAGTTCTACCTGATCCTTTAAGGCATCAAACTTGATGGGCTTCTGGCAAAGTGTTAAAGTCATGATTACTTTGCTCTTTTATAGCAATCTGGGCATTTATATTTGATATTTGTCTATATCTAATGCATCTGTAGCACTAACGTCCACACATGAGCCATGGAACCAGTCATTACAGAAATCACATTGTATCATAAACCTGCCCTGCCATGGCTTTCTACAAAGGCAATATACCCTATCGCTTCCTCGGGCAGTAGATTTTTCTCCCAGTGCTTAATCCATTGGGGCACTTTCCCATCATTACAATTTTTATACGCCCGTTTGAAAAACGGGACGTATTATGGGAACGCCCCTGGCGGGCGGGTGGGCGGGCGGCGTCCAATTTTGTCCGGAGCATATCTCCTACATGTATGGAGGGATTTTAATGAAACTTCATATAAATGTTCACCACTATGAGGAGCAGTGATGCGCTCATGAACCAAGTCTCTAGGTCAAAGGTCAAGGTCACACTTAGAGCTCATTGAAAAATGCTTGTCCGGAGCAAAACTTCCACATGTATAGAGGGATTTCAATATTACTTGGCACAAATGTTCACCATTGTGAGGCGGAGTGTCGCGTGCAAGATTCAGGTCCTTGCGGCCAAGGTCAAGGTCACACATAGAGGTCAAAGTTCAGATAAAAATATGAAGATGTGTATATGGACCATTTAGTCATCATTTATTGAGGGATTGTAACACAAATGGTCATTATCAAGACTATGGCTGTGATACATATAATTTAGGTCAATATATACAAGGTCAAGGTCACTAAAGATGATGAAATATCCAGATTTTGTAAATAGAATTTAATCAAAGGGAGACAACAAAGTTATTACTTTGTTCATAAATGACTTACACAATTACTCCCCTTGATCTATTTTCACTTTCAATTCTAAAAATAGAATTTAATCAAAGGGCATGAAATAATCCTCTTTCTTGGACTTGAGTATGTTCTAAAGAATGTAACATTTATTTACACATGTTTCATTCATTGGTCAAGATTCTTAACTGTGATAACTATGGTGTTCTGTAGACTTGGTATTTGTTCATAAAGATCATACAGTAATTACCTTATCAAATGTAAATACTTTCTCATAGAAATTTAATTATATTTTAATTTTCAAGTAAATATCAGTTCAGCTCATTCAAAGATTAAGAATTGTAATGAAATGTATTTCCCTAGAATAAAATCTAAAATCAGAATTTTTTAGTTATTAAATTACATGTACTTTTTATACGCCCGTTTAAAAAAAGATAAAAATATGAAGATGTGTATAGGGACGATTTAATCATCATTTATTGAGGGATTGTAACACAAATGGTCTTTATAATGACTACGGCTGTGACATGTACTTTAGGTCAATATATCATTATATGCAAGGTCAAGGTCACTAAAGATGGTGAAATATCCAGATTTTGTCTGGAGCATATCTCCTACATGTATGGAAGAATTTTTATAATACTTTATGGAAATGTTCACCACCATGATATGTATTGCTCCATGCATGATCCAGGTCAAAGGTCAAGGTCACACTTAGAGCTCATTGAAAAACGCTTGTCCGGAGCAAAACTTCTACATTCATTCATGCATGGAGGAATTTTAATGTTACTTTTATAGATTTGTTCACCACCATGAGACGTAGTGCCCTGCACATAAACCAAGTCTCTAGGTCAAAGGTGAAGGTCACAGTTAGAGCTCATAGAAAAACACTTGTCTGGAGCAAAACTTCTACATGCATAGAGGGATTTCAATATAATTTGGCACAAATGTTCATCATTGTGAGGCTGAGTGCCGTGCATAAAATTCAGGTCCCTGCAACCAAGGTTAAGGTCACACATTCTGTGCATATCTTCCCTATTGATTTGTTTTAAGGTTCATTTAACAACACAGTGCCAAGAATAAAAACTTGCTTGCTAGATAATACTTATCCATAATGCCCCCATCTCCATCTAAAGCTTTTTCGTAAACGGGCGTATTTTGTGACTATGGCACCCTTGTTGAGTCTATCATGATTTACCACCATAATAGCATTACGCAGTTTTACACGGAAAATATATGCGAACAACTTGGACACAATAATTCCCGGACCCTTCCATGGCGGACAAAGCTTTTTGCATTTGCCCTTCAAAACTGCAGTTTCAAGTAGATAAACTTTATCACCTACTTCATAATTTCTTTCTAATAGACGTAAATCGTAATTACGCTTCATTCTATTAGAAGAACTTTTCGTTTTCAGGTGAGCTAACTCATGGGCCTCTTTCATTTTCCTTCCCAGCTCCTCAGAATAATCCTGAGGCAACTGAGCCTCATTTAATTTCTGAGGAAACATGAGATAGGCTGGAATATGTACTTCACGCCCCAACATAAGCATGTTGGCCGTGAAACCTGTCATACGATTTAAGGAGGCCCTTAATGCTCCCGCTATTTGTTGTATGTGTAAATCCCACTGGTTTTGGGACTTACCAATAAAACACCTAACCGCATCCATTAGTATGCGGTTATATCTTTCAACTTTTCCGCCCTTAGCTGGTGGAATGATAACGACAACAAGAATTAGCTTTATCTCATCTATCGTAAGAACTGAAACATATAAAGAAAAAAACATATTTAATTTTACAGAATAACAATACATACTTTTACATAAAAACAACATCATAATTGGATTATAACCTAATGTTGACCAAGTTGCTTTAATTTTCAATTTCCACATTTTATGTACAAAGTGATGCCGCTGCTATTCCCCTGGTGTCGGCTGAAACGATGGTAGTAGGAAGGGACTCTCGGCCAGGTGACAGCAGTTGTTTGAGAGATGAGCATTCCTGTAATTGTAGATGTTGTCTTCACTGTTGAAGTAAGCCTGCACGTTGTTGTACTAGGTGCTTCTGTGGTTTCCAAAGTTGTCTTCAACGTCGAAGGAGGCCTGGGGGTGTTGTACTAGGTGCTTCTGTGGTTTCCAAAGTTGTCGTCGTCGTCGAAGTAGGCCTGGACGTTGTTGTACTAGGTGCTTCTGTGGTTTCCAAAGTTGTCTTCAACGTCGAAGGAGGCCTGGACGTTGTTGTACTAGGTGCTTCTGTGGTTTCCAAAGTAGTCGTCATCGTCGAAGTAGGCCTGGACGTTGTTGTACTAGGTGCTTTTGTGGTTTCCAAAGTTGTCTTCGACGTCGAAGTAGGCCTGGACATTGTTGTACTATGCGCTTCTGTGCTTCCAAAATTGTCTTCAACGTCGAAGTATGCCTGAGAGGTGTCGTACTGGGTGCTTCTGTAGTTTTCAAAGTTGTCTTCAACGTCGAAGTAGGCCTATAATGTGTCGTACTAGGTCCTTCTGTGGTTTTCAAAGTTGTCTTGATTGTCGAAGTAGGCCTATTATGTGTGGTTCTAGGTGATTCTTAGAGGAAAAGGAAGCTTGGTTTACAATATACTGGTGCTTGGCATGAAGTACTACCACAAGATATTTCTGTTCAATAAAATCTGCAATGTTACAATTTCATAGAAGGCCAGTCATAATAGAAATTATGGTAAAACTAATTCCTTCACAAATGTTTTCACGATTAAATAAAGATAAACATTATCTACATTTTAAGAAAAAAGTCCTTAAAAAAATCTCCTTGCAGAATCCTGAAAAATCGATCATAAAGATTTAGTAAAAATCGATATTTAAATGTGTCTCTTAAATTACACCATACTTTAATGTTTTGCACGTTCGGTGACGTCATGCTTATTATATTTTCGTTGAAAGATCTTAAGTTACTTCAATATCAGCATTCCTAGTGCAAAGGTGAGTAATTTTAGTCATTTTTATATTCTTCTGTATAAATTTTAGGGAAAAATAAGTCAGTAGATAGATATAATTGACCACCAATCAATCGATTATGCAGATGACAAAATGTGTCATATAATTTCGCGATTTTAAACACAATTTTGCATAAAGTAATCATTAAAAGAGAGTTTATCTTTTACTCACTGTTCTACATTGTTTTCTTTTGTACAATTATCTAAAATGACACTGAATTAACCACACATCTTACTGGGTATTTAAAAAAATGTATATGCACAAGTTATGTAAATTTTTCTTTGCTACGGAAGCGTGTTGTGACCAAAATCACGAAAATCTAGGGATATTTTTAAAATGTTAGATTTGACTTATTTCAAAGAGTTGGCATGTTTTATGAATTGTGGAAATCATAATTAAATCAAATAATATGTTAACTTGATGTAAACAAACGTATTTTGTAATACATAATGTATTTCTAAGCAAAATTTTAATATTCCAGCATGTTATATGAAAAATAGACAGCGTATCCAATAGGGTGTAATCAAGCTAAAACTATTACCTTTTAATGAGGAAGTTGTTACTGGAACTATATACATTGCTTTTACTTCTAAACAGAAGACATGGATTTAAAACCCAAATTATTATGCCAATTATTGATTCTGTTGTAGGCTCAATCATATTATATGCATCTGAGAGTATGGTGTTATAGCAAATCAAAAGATAATTGAGCATATTCACTTGAAATATTGTAAAAGAATTTTAAATGTTAGAGCCAATACAAGCAATGTTCGTATATACGGCAAACTCGGCCGTCACCCATTGTATATCAATCGATACGTAAGAATAATTAAGTTTTGGTGCAAATTGATAAATACTGACAATATAATTTTACGGAAAACATATGAATTAAGTTTATCTGATTGTTATAATTAGGTAAAAAAAAACTGGGTATCAAATGTTAAAGAAATGCTATATATATATGGTTTATCCGAATACTATTTTGATTACCATATCATGTTTTAGCCGCA